ACTGACGAACAGTGGCATGCAAGATAATTTTATTTGCTGTTCTTGTCTACTGCCTTTTTCTTCCCCTTGTGTGCTGTCAAGATTTTGGTATCAGAAATATAACATTGAAATTGCAAAGTGAGATTAGATGTGCTCTCCTGCTTCTTTTTTTCCCTAATACTTTTGGGGACGCGGAAGCCGACATGTTCTATGTGGGAGAGACAGGACCCACTCGGCTCTAGGCTTCGACGCAGGGGTAGATCACGCTTTCCAAGCCGGTGGAGCTATGGGAAGATCCAGCTACCTGGACTTGGGAGTAACAAAGGCGCAGTCATCAACTGACAACAGCGAGAACCCAAGAACCTTGTATACGGTTGTTAATTCAAATCAAAACATTAAACAATAATTATTTATACACATGTCAGATATGCACTGCTAGGTGTCTGGAGTGACTTCGGCGAGAACTGCATCAGTGAACGAGAGGGGTATAGCCTGCTCAGCACAGTGCCCTTAAGACACACACGCGGAGGTGGGAACTCCAGGAATAGATGATAAGTCCACGAGAGTAGGCTAGTGAAAGGACAGGAGGTGACTATTCTGGAGATACAGGGTCCATGGCCTGTGATTCCTACGGTGTTGGGTTATACGACACACCCATGTGGACAAGTGAAATAACTCTAGGAGGGGCAGCAGGAGTAGGCAGCAGAGAAACACGTATGAGTTAGATGCCCAGAGTCTCCTCTGGAGAAGGCGAAGATATACCCTAGTCCAATTGCTTCATAAAGGGATGGGCTCACACGGCATGTCCTCCCATCTCTGGAATGACTGGCCCTGGAGCCTGTCTCTAGGCAGAACTTCACAACAGGATGTGGCTCTCTAGATAGCTGTGTTTAGAAGGAATCTGAGGCTTCAGCCTCACACAGGGGAAAGACTATTGCGACTGATAGCAATATCTGTGAACATAAGAAAAAAAAGTAAAAAAATCAATGATATACATCAAATAATAAGGAATATACACACCAAAGAGTGCTGCCCCATACTTTCCTCACCTCCCTACAATGAGTTTCCTAAGACTCCTAGCTCATGCACATAAATACGATCCCATGGACCCTATATCCCCCAGAGACCCTAACTGCCCAATCCAAAGTGATGTACCTACCCAACATCTCACTCAACCCAGAAGAAACCAATGGCACCAAAGTTGGCAGCAAAGTTGGCACTGGCTGTACCACCAGGACCAATAATGGGACCAGCAAAGGTCTGAGGAAATCTGGAGCGGGCGTTCTGGTGGTATCTGGCCCAGAAGGTAAATGGAATTCTGGACCAGGGATCTCCAAAATCTCCTTCCTCATCCCAGGTCAGCAGCTCAAACTCAATATCATCCCAGCTCCAGGGCCCAGACACAGCCTCATCTCCAATTCCCATGCGGGTTCTTGCTTCAGCCCGGGCTTCGGCCTCAGCTGCAGCAGCATCCAGAGCATCCAAGGCCTCATCTGCAGCCTCCATGAACTGTGCAGTCCAGTCACGAGGGTCTCTTTTCTGAACCTGAGATGAGGAATAGAAAACAAAACAAAATCTATTTACAATAGCCAAGATACGGAATCAACCTACGTGTCCATCAATGGATGAATGGATAAGGAAAATGTGATACACACACACACAGTGGAATACTATTCAGCCTTTAAAAAGAAGGAAATTCTGCCATTTGCAACAACATGGATGATGCTGGATGACATTATGCTAAGTGAAGTAAGTCAGACACAGAAAGACAAATACTGCATGACTTCACTTATACATGGAATCTAAAAAGGTCTAACTCATAGAAACAGAGAGTAGAATGATAGTTTCCAGGGCCTGGGGTCAGGAGGGATGGGGAAATATTGGTTAAAAGGTACAAAATTTCAGTTAGATAGGAAGAGTATATTCTGGAGATTGACCATATAGCATGATGACTATAGTTAATAATAATATGTTGTTTATTTAAAATTGCTAAAAGAGTACATTTTAAATGTTCTCATCACAAAAAAAAATGTCAAGTATATGAAGCTACGGAGAGTTAACTAGCTTGATGTAATCATTCCGCAATGTACATGACATGTATTATCAAAACACCATACTGTGCCCCATAAATATATATACTTTTTATTAGTCAATTAAAAATAAATGAATGTGCTGGGTACAGTGGTTCACGCCTGTAATCCCAACACTTTGGGAGGCTGAGGCAGGCAGATCACTTGAGGTCAGGAGATCGAGACCAGCCTGGCTAACATGGCAAAACCCTTTCTCTAATAGAAAAATAAAAATTTAGCCAGGCATGGTGGTGGCACGTGCCTGTAATCCCAGATACTTGGGAGGCTGAGGCACAAGAATCGCTTGAACCCGGGAGGCAGAGGTTTCAGTGAGCCAAAATCGCGCCACTGCACTCTAGCCTGGGCAACACAGCAAAACTCCATCTCAGGAGAAAATAAATAAATAAAACAAAACAAAATACTTAAAAATTACATTGTACACCATAAATATATACAATTTTTGTCAATTATACTTTAGTAAAGTTGGGAAAAAATAAAAATACTTTAAAAACCTAAAAAAAAAAAAAACCAAAACAAACTCATAATTGTATTAGCTAATATATTAACATATGTTAGCACCTAATGCATGTTAAGTTTACCTAACAACAACAACAAATACCACCAGCAATGCAGCACCTACCACGTGCCATACCTAGGATCTCATTCCTACCCTGGACCTTTCCCAGCCAGCGATACTTCATCCCTTGACCTATCAATGCTGGTTGGCACATTACCTCTGCAATGAATCTCAGCACTTTCATCTTGCTAGTCTCATGGTAGGAACGGAGGCCCCAGAGGAACTCATACTCTGGGGGGTTGCTGTTGGGCCACTCGTCTGTAGTCCAGGTACGAAAGACAACAACAGTCTTTGTGTCTAACCTAATCCGGGCCAGATATGTTGTACGTCCAGTTATGAAACAATAATCTACATTTTTTAACATCAGATTTCAATAGGCAACTCTCCGCCTCGGGCTCATTCCTGACACCACTCAGCGGTATTCTACCCCCTTAATCATCACAAGCCATGTGAATTCGCTGGCACCAGGAACCTAAGCACTCAGCTTAGAGCTGCAGGCGACGCTTTTGTATACGGGGTCATCAGAAAGGACAACATTTCATTTTCACTCCTTCTGCCTCAGCTCTAGCTCAGATTCTTGCCTAAACTTTGTCAGTGAGCACAGAGGCCATTGAAATGACTTACAGTGTAGTCGCAATATAGTGGTCAGCGTGGCCCGAGGCCTTGGAATGTTCCTACTGTGGGATGGTGGATGGGCTGTCACTTGCAAGGACATACTACTTAGGAAAAAGAGAAAAATTAGGAAGTCAATTCTGGCTGACATGGTGGCTCACGCCTGTAAATCCGCCAGCACTGTTGGCAGGCAGAGGTGGGTGAATTGCTTCGAGGCAGGAGCTTTGAGACCAGCCGCTGGCCAACATGGTTAAAGTCCGCATCTCTTAACTAAAAAATACAAGAAACAGCCGGCATGGTGGCAGGCACCTGAAGTCCAGTTACTCAGGAGCCTGAGAGCAAGAAGTTGGTTGAACCTAGCGAGGTGGAAGTTCAAGCGGAGCCCAATGATTGCGCCCACTGCACTCCAGCATGGGCAATAGAGTGAGATCTGCAGTCTCGAAAAGAAATCAAACAAAAGAATTCGCCGCCTAGATGTGGTGGCCACGCTTAATCCCAGCCACTTTTGAGGCCGAGGCCAGGAGCATCACTGAGGTCGGGAGTTCGAGACCGTCTTCAAGACATGCAGAAACTCACTCTCTACTAAGAAGACACAATTAGCTGGGCGTGGTGGTGCAGCCTGTAATCCCAGCTACTCCGGGAGGCTGAGCAGGAGAATCGGTTCAGCCGAGTCCGCAGGTTGCAGTGAGCAAGATCATGCCATTGAACTCCAGCCTGGGCAATCAAGGTGAAACTCCATCTCGAAGAATATCAGAAGAAACAAGAAAATTAAAGAGAAGAAAAGAGAATAAGAGAGAAGAGGAAAAAGAGAAGAGAGAAGAGAAGAGAAGGTAGAAGAGAAGAGAAAGAAAAAAAGAAAGGAAAGAAAGAAAAGAAAGAATAACACCAGAAGGAGTAGTATGAGTAAATTA